GGAGCACAGGGACTGGTCTGCTGCTGAGACTCTGATGAGCACAGGGACTGGTCTGCTGCTGAGACTCTGATGAGCACAGGGACTGGTCTGCTGCTGAGACTCTGAGGAGCACAGGGACTGGTCTGCTGCTGAGACTCTGAGGAGCACAGGGACTGGTCTGCTGCTGAGACTCTGAGGAGCACAGGGACTGGTCTGCTGCTGAGACTCTGAGGAGCACAGGGACTGGCCTCCTACTGGTCCCAGAGTCAGGATTAATCATGGGGAGTCAGCATTTCAAATTCATGCAGCAAAAATCTCTCTGAAATCTTCCTGAAAATGTGAGACAGGCTTCTTCTCTGACGATGTTCAAATCCAGGTTTAAAACAGTTCTGTTTCGCTGCAGAAATGTGAAAGACTGTAACTTCACTCTTTTTAATGCACTGTGATTATTAATGGGACATTGCCTGTTTGTAGAAATTACACGTTGAGAAAAGAGTCTGATTCTGAAGGTTCACAAAGAAGAGAATGTGGTTTAGCTTCGTCACAAAGAACCGACAAAATACCTGTTTTTGGTAGTTTACGTTTTTTTAATAAATAATAAAAATGTGTAAAAGCAAAAGTGACGTACCTTCACAGAATCCCGATCTGAAAACACAAGAAAGAGAGAGAAATATTTAAAATGAGGAGAAGACAGAAGCCATTGTTAGCATCTGAAGCTGTCATAACACCAGACCTCCCTGAGCAGTCAAAACGACGGCTTTTAAGCGTAATGTATTGTTTATTTATTTTATCGTTATTATCTTTTAGTTCCTACTTTTAACTCCTGCAATCGTAGCCATATCCTGTCACTTAGCAACCAACATTCTATGGCAGAGTAAAGGTAAAAACCAGAACTTTTATCAAAACTTGTGGAAACGTTTCAGGTTTTCATGGAGGATTTTTTCCAGAATTGCATTGATTTGAATGGGAGCCGTTAATTTGACTGCTTTCCAGGAGTTCTAGTAGTGTTTCAGAATTCTGGCAGCCCGAGTGGTAAAGTGTTGTAACTATCAAAGCTGCAAGATATTGGGAAAAATTGTTAGAAAAGTTAAATATGAAAACTTTGACGAATCAAAAACAAAACATATGAACTCATTGGCGTGTGCTATAACTTATCATGTGAAAGGTAGATTCTGAAAGACTGGACTATCTACTTTCTTCTTCAAAAATAAGTTTGATTCTAGCTAGTTTAGTCCTTCTATATTCTCTCGTCAAATAGATGGAAGTTTGACAGAAACCACCAGTCTCAGACAAATACGTCAATGGCAGCCAAAAAAGCTAAAGTAAGAACATCATACAATCAGCCTACATCCTGTTCGTCCAATCAGAGAAGAGAATGAGAATTTGGTTTGTCCAATCAGAGAAGAGAATCAGAATTTGGTGGCACGACATACTGTTTTGATTTCATTAGGAATCTTTTGCCAGAGAAAGAGCTCTGGGAGTCACTGTTGGACTCTTTGGGCTGAGCTGATTGGCTGAGGGAGGGTGGTCCGTTCTTTTGTCCGTTTTAAATCTGAAAACGCTGATTTAAAAGAAAGGCCAAAAAGTACACAACAAACAAGAGATAGACGAAAACTGTTTTAAAGGTTTTTGAAAAGTCAGGTGCATCAGCTTTAAGTGATTATTGATGTATGTGTGAGGTTAAAATATATAAGGTATAAGGCTAAATGTGTGTGAGTGTGTGTATCAGAGAGAGAGTGTGTGTGTGTGTGAGTGTGTGTGTGTGAGTCTGTATCAGAGAGAGAGTGTGTGTGTGTGTGAGTATTAGAGAGAGTGTGTGTGTGTGTGAGTCTGTATCAGAGAGAGAGTGTGTGTGTGTGTGTGAGTATTAGAGAGAGTGTGTGAGTGTGAGTCTGTATCAGAGAGAGAGTGTGTGTGTGAGAGTGTGTGTGTGTATTAGAGTGTGTGTGTGTGAGTCTGTATCAGAGAGAGAGTGTGTGTGTGTGTGTGAGTATTAGAGAGAGTGTGTGAGTGTGAGTCTGTATCAGAGACAGTGTGTGTGTGTGCGTGTGAGTGTGTGTGTGTATTAGAGAGAGTGTGTGTGTGTGAGTCTGTATCAGAGAGAGTGTGTGTGTGTGAGTCTGTATCAGAGAGAGTGTGTGTGTGAGTATGTGTGTGCGTGTATCAGAGTGTGTGTGAGTCTGTATGAGAGAGAATATGCGTGTGTGTGTGTGTGTGTGCGTGTGCGTGAGTCTGTATCAGAGTGTGTGTGTGTGTGTGAGACTGTATCAGAGAGTGTGTGTGTGTGTGTGAGTCTGTATCAGAGAGTGTGTGTGTATCAGAGTGTGTGTGTCAGAGAGACTGTACATTACTGTATCATGTATTGTATGTAACCAGGGACTGCAGATGGAAACAGCTGTTTATCTATAACCTGGAGCAGGACGTATCTGTCTTTGAGCTTAATGTCTCTGTACATTGTCCCTTCAAATAAAAACTAAATAAATAATAAGCTAAAATGCTAAAATCGTCTTCACACCCTATTATGCTAAATCTCTGCGTTTATGTGTGTTACGACAACACATTTTGCTTGTTTTCTGTCTATCTCTCTTATGTAACGTCTATGGCATTCGATCTCAAGCTCTCTCTGTTTAGAAAGGGAAAAAAAAGTAGCAAAGACGTAAATAGAAAAAGCTGGGAAAGGCAAAAATAACCCCAAAAAAACTAATCCTGGGGCTCGCATGGATCGCAGGCAGGAAGTCAGCCCGGAGCAAATCGCATTGTTATTGATCGCGCTCTTAATGGCTCCGGTGCAGGCTTAGTGTGAGTTCTCCACCACGCTAAAAAGGCCAAGGTTAACTGCTGCGATGAACGGCGGAAAGAAAAGGAGTCCCAGCCGCCGATCCCAGCCGCCAGGTAATTAAGCACACACACAGACACAGACACAGACGCACAAAAACACACACGCGCACACACTTACACGCACGGGGCTTCTAATTAAACGCTCCCAGGCCTCGCGGAGTGTTTTTGCGAGTGCAAAGAGGCACGGTGGAGCGCTCGTCTCACTCCTCATTAGGTCCAATTAAAGTCAGAATAACGACGAATGCGGAAGAGTTTGAAGGCCGGTGTCGGTTCAGGACGAAAACATGCAACGAGTCATCCATCGGGAATGTCTAGACCAGTGTTCCGCGACCTTTTTGAGTCGTGGCACAGCCATTTTGTTGGAAAAATAATCTCACGGCACATCACCAGCTAAAACTGAGGCAAAACATTAAAGGAGCAGTTTGTAAACATGTGGCCAAAAGTGGTACTGCAGCCTCTCCCACTCTCCCTGACTCAGGTTGCCAGATATGCAGACGAATCCAGCTGGGACCATAACAGCTGAATAGACAAGAGTTTTGTCAACAACAAATCTATAACCAACACCTTTTTCGAAAAGATAGAAATCCTGGTTTTATTCCTTGTTTTGTCGTTAATGATTTGAGAATCATAACGAGACCTTTTCTAGTTCTGCGCCCACATGGTACTTTACCAGTGAGATTAGCTCCACGCGGTGAGTTCTGGCGCCCGGATCACAGACTTCTGATTGGTGAAACAATAAAGGGCGGGACATCGAAATGAAAACAATAATTAGCGGCTGGAAAACTAATTTAGAAGTCCAAATATCTCTGAACTACTGTTATCAGTTAAAGAAGTATTGGAAAAGAACATGTTTTATTAATGCCTTTGGACTGATTAGGGCCCTTTAATGATGAAAATGTTACATATTACTACTTTAAATCTGCAGCCTTCAGTCAGAGAGCAAATTCATTCTCATCAAAGTGTTTAATATAGAAAAACAAATTAGCACAATCATTTGATCTTCTCACATTGTTTTCTTTTCACGTTATTTGGACCAATCAGATGATAATGGATGATCTCCAAAGGCACACAAACATGCCACGGCCCACTGGTTGAAAAACACTGGTCTACAACACAGTGTCAAACTCATTCAGGTCAGGGACAACATTTAAAAGCTGAGTTGATGGTATGGGCCAAAAGTAAAAGTGTTTGGATATTATTTTCTACACTGCAAAATATGAAAATGATAAGTCAAAAAAGGCCCAAATTTGGCAAAATGTGTCTTAATCTGAGAACATCATGACTGCGCCTTAAAATAAGATTTACCAAAGAACTATTTCTTCTACTAAACTGTTTCTTTCCCTAAAGCAAAAACATAAATATAGTGATGCGCTATGCTAACCCGCTAGCTCAATAACGCCCAACAGGGAAGTGCTCATGGATGAAGTTTGGCTCAGTCCTCGGTGTGATAACAACGTCTGTTTGGGTGTTCGGTCTCGCTGCTGAATCAGTTTGAGAGATGGTGGATAAGGAGGTTTTTGTTCGAGGCCGGGGCCGCGAGCAAAGAGAGTAAAGCTGATATTGTGTCTGGTCCCCATCGGTTTCGTCGCAGCTATTTGGGATTTGAGGCAATGTAATGGAGATGCTAACGTTACCGAGGATATAATGGAGATGCTAACATTACCGAGACAACGGTAAAACAAATGGAAGGAGCGTATACAAATTTAGATAAAAATTGAGTATTTTAAATATTTTTCTGGATAAACTGTATTTAAACAATGGTCTCAATACAGTAAGACCGGGAAAGACCCAGTGAGGTTTCAGGATTCAGGTCCAGACCCAGACCCAGGCCCAGACCCAGACCTGGACTCAGACCTGGACCCAGGCCCAGACCCAGGCATGGACACAGATCGATCCCAAGACCTTGATCCAGGCCCGGATCAAGGTGAAGATCCAAATCCAGACCCAGACCCAGATCTATACCATGACCCAGATCCAGGCCAAGATCTAGATCCAGAACCAGACCTAGACCCAGACTCAGGCCGAGACTCAGGCCCAGACCCATGCCCAGACCCAGGCCCAGAACCAAGCGTACACCCATATCCAGACCAGGATCCAAGCTCAGACCCAGACCTAGATTCAGACTTAGGCCCAGACCCAGGCGGATACCAGATCCAGGCCCAGACCGAGATCCAGCACCAGACTCAGCCTTTCCTTTCCTGGTACATATAGTTACTCCTTCTCGTACCTCTCTGGTGCTCGGAGATGTTGTTGTCGTGGTGCTTCCTCTCGTCTTTGATTGGCAGCTGGTGGCTCAGGGCGTTGGACAGGGCGAGCAGGCTGGCCGCACTCGCCCCGGGGGCCAGGGGTGGCTGCAGTCCGGCCGGGTGAGGCGTGAGGGGCACTGGGATGGCGTGGCCGTGGGACAGGTGCTGGGCCTGGAGCTGCTGCTGCTGGAGCACACACACACCACGTCAATCACAATACCTCCTGCACCGAAAATGATCAATGATGAGGGAAAAGTTTTTTATGTTAATCTGAGAACATTCTGACTGTGTTTTATTAGCTTCATTGTTTTTATCTATTTATTTATTTCTAAATCAGATAACTAGTATTTTTATCATTTTTATCAAATGTTTATTGTTAATTGGTAATGTATTGTTTTTATCAATTTTTTATTGATTTTAATTTGTGTATAATGTTTTTTTTTTTTTTTTTAACACAAGGCTGGCAAACTTGTTTTATGAAATGTGCTATATAATTAAATTGGGTGAATTGAGTTGGATTTGAAACGAGATTTACCGACTTTATAAAGATATTTCGTAATTAAGTAAGTAATCCTTATGTATATAGCTTCCAATTAGCATTAGCATTTGTCTCTCTCTCCACACAGAGATGGGAGCGGGGTCGGCAGTACAGGAGGCGCAGACACGGTAGTAGGGGAAACCGGAGCACCCAGAGGAAACCGGAGCAGACACGGGGAGAACATGCAAACTCTACTCAGAAAGTCCCTGTTCTGACCGGGATTCGAACCACTAAACCACAAATTAAGATTAAGATTCAAGATTTTTTATTTTTTGACTTATTTTCCGTCACTTTTTGCAGTGTAATAGTAGTAGTTAATTTCTTCGGCCCTTACAAACATTAGCTCTTAGGTCACGTGTTTTCAAAGATATTATACAGTATACAATCAGAGAAAACAAAGTACTAAGTACTAAATCGTGTACTTTAAGACATTTCTTGTTAATTACTGCGTGAGCAAAAAAGGTTTCAGGCTGAGGTCCAGAGTTTTTACAGCGGTGACATTAGGACTAAAGGTGATGATGTGGCACAAAACTTAAACTTCAAGTGAGAGAGTAAGTTATTTATCTATATAGCACATTTAGCACCAGAAAGAGAGAGCAGAGAGAGAGACCAGAGACAACAATGAGAGAGCAGGGAGGGACCAGAGAGAGACCAGAGAGGTAAGAGAGAGAGAGACCATAGAGAGAGACCAGAGAGAGACCAGAGAGAGAGACCAGAGAGAGACCAGAGAGTGACCAGAGAGAGACCAGAGAGAGGCCAGAGAGAGAGAGAGACCAGAGGGAGACTAGAGAGAGAGACCAGAGAGAGACCAGAGAGAGAGAACAGAGAGAGACCAGAGAGAGAGACCAGAGAGAGGCCAGAGAGAGAGAGAGACCAGAGGGAGACCAAAGACAACAGAGAGAGAGCAGGGAGAGACAAAAGAGAGATAGGAGAAAGACTGGAGAGAGAGCAGAGAGAGAGCCCAAGTGAGCGTGTGTGTGTGTGTGTACGTGTCTGAATGTGTGTCTGTGCGTGTCTGTGTGTGTCTATGTGTGTGTGCGTGTCTGTGTGTGTCTGTGTGTGTGTGAGTCCACCCACTCCGATGATAGCGTTGAGTTCTGCCATGGTGACCTGCTTGGCTCTCTCCACCGCCTGCACCACCTGCTGCTGGTGCTGCAACCCAGAGAGAGACACACACTTCAGGGCCTGACACACACACACACACACACACACAGCTGCTCCCTGACCTGTGCGGACACGGCTGGAACATCACACTTCCCACACACCATCACGCGGCGTAAATACGGGAGACGCTCCTGTTACAGCAGTGACTCACGCTGGGCTTTGTCAAGTTTGGTTTTTCAAACTTCACTTTTCACTACTTTTAGACATTCTAGTGCCAAGAATTATTGCATTGCTTTGCTCCTGCAGTAAGCGATGTTGTTAGCTTAGCCGTAGCTCCAACTGGAAACCACTCCCCCCTCCCCTCGCCTCTCCACCGAACCAAACATCCAGCATTTTCTTTTCTTTGTCGCAACAGGGAGAGTGGGCGCCAAGCCGTTTTAGGTTTTAGAAAATCCGATAACTCCGGTGCACTCGTGAGAAACAGGAAGAGGGTGAAGGGGGTAAACACATCCCATTGGTTTATTTTTATCGGTCCGCTCCAAAATATTTGTTATTAATTTTTGGAGACTATAGACATCTGGTCAATTCCATTACTATTTGAAAACACATGATTACTCGAATACTTTTAGCGTCTGGAAAAAAAATCACTGACTGCATCTTTGAAGCTGAGGTACTTAACTTTATTCACCCAAGAGAAATACAATGGAGAGATACAGATAGAGTCTTGTAAAAGTAAGTAAGTAAGTAATCTTTTTATTTATATACCGCCTTTTCACTGCAGACCTGAGTCTCAAAGCGGTTTACAATTATTCATTTTGGGCATTTGTCTCTCACTCCACACAGAGATGGGAGCGGGGTCGCCAGTACAGGAGGCGCATGCCAGAACTATTGGACATATTTTTAGTGGTAGGGGAAACCGGAGTACCCGGAGGAAACCTACGCAGACACGGGGAGAACATGTAAACTCCACTCAGAAAGGCCCTGGTCCGACCGGGATTCGAACCCAGGACCTTCTTGCTGAGAGGCGAGAGTGCTAACCACTCAGCCACCGTGCCGCCCCTAAAAGTAAAAATAAAAACGGATAATCTCACAAGATGCTGCCTTCGTTCGATTCAATGTGATTTTGTGTTAAATCACAACAGTAGGTACAGTATCGGAGGACTTTATAAAACTGTTGATTCGCCAACACAGATCAGAGAATCAGAAAGTTCAAGTTCAAACTCAGGCAATGATAAAAAAGCACATAGAGACATTGGTCCATCAGGGGCAGAGACCAATGTCCATAAACGTCCTGGATCATCACCTCTGTCCTCACACCTCCTGCAGGGGGTTTTTATATTATTTGGATTGAAAAACTGGTAGAAAATAAAAAAGATCCCTGTGAGTCAGTATTTGGCGCTTTGGGCTGATTGGCCGAGTGAGGGTGGTGCTCTCTTTTTCTCTGTCTGAAAAATCTGATCCGAAGATGTGAAAGACAGAGTATCAGTATTTCTGGAAAACAACTCCAAAAAAGGAAAAAGCATCAAAAAAATTCCTGAAGCCTTTTTATTGCAAAGAAACTCTGATTATTGGAGATCTTTCCACGATTTGTCTCTTTTTAACGAGTGAACGAGCGTCCGTGATAAAGGTCGGATGTTTCTGGACGTGTCGCAGGTCGTCACGACAACGGCTCAAATCAGGTCATTTTTTAAAACACGCCATTTAGTGAAAAATCAGGAAGAATTCAGGACATGGAATACAAACACATGGTACACTGGTACAGCAGAGAGTGTGTGTGTGTGTGTGTGAGTTTGTTTTGTGTTTGCACAAAATTATCGCGTTAACGCACATTCATTAATTGTTTTCATTAATCGCGTTAAAAAAAATAACGCGATTGACCCATGCCCAAGCATCCCATGATAACACTCTGAATGTGTGTGAGACGGCAACAGAGCAGGTCTCTGGGAATCTAAGTTTTAAAAGAAAACACATATTTCCTGTATGAACTCTGCGAGCACAGCGGTTCCTCCAGCCGCAGTGATCACGACGAACGGTGCCGCGTAAGTAAGTAATCTTTTTATTTATATACCGCCTTTTCACTGCAGATCTGAGTCTCAAAGCGGTTTACAATTGTTAATTTTGGGCATTTGTCTCTCACTCCACACAGAGATGGGAGCGGGGCCAGTACTGGAGGCGCATGCCAGAAATATTGGACATATTTTTAGTGGTAGGGGAAACCGGAGTACCCAGAGGAAACCTACGCAGACACGGGGAGAACATGCAAACTCCACTCAGAAAGGCCCTGGTTCGACCGGGATTCGAACCCAGGACCTTCTTGCTGAGAGGCGAGAGTGCTATCCACTCAGCCACCGTGCCGCGTAACACGTGATCAGCCAAGACCACGCACAGTGGGGCGGCACGGTGGCTGAGTGGATAGCACTCTCACCTCTCAGCAAGAAGGTCCTGGGTTCGAATCCCGGTTGGACCAGGGCCTTTCTGAGTGGAGTTTGCATGTTCTCCCCGTGTCTGCGTAGGTTTCCTCCGGGTACTCCGGTTTCCCCTACCACTAAAAATGTGTCCAATAGTTCTGGCATGTGCCTCCTGTACTGGCCCCGCTCCCATCTCTGTGTGGAGTGAGAGACAAATGCCCAAAATTAACAATTGTAAACCGCTTTGAGACTCAGATCTGCAGTGAAAAGGCGGTATATAAATAAAAACTTACTTACTACTTACTTACTTACTTACAGAACTATTCTCTGTTTGTAGTGTGCGTGTCTTTGCGTAACCTGTGCACACAATAAATACAGCGCAGAAGCTGGACTACGGAGCCTCAGCCTCCTCCGTGTCTTCTCCCGAAGCGCACTCGCTAAATTAAAGCTGGGGTACCTAGTTTTCCCTTCCACTACCAGTTCAAGACAGATTCAATGACATTCTGCATTTCATACTGTTTTGAAATGTCCCTCATCTGAAACAAACATTAGTTTTGGTCTAAACAAGTCTAAACAAGACAGAATGATAATAATGTTAATGCCGTTTTATGTGGATTTATTGTATGATAAACAAATACAGGTCATATGTAAACTATGTTTATCTTTTATCTTTCTATTCAAACCATTTACAGAAAAATATGGCATAATTTTGCCGATAGTTTGAAATGCGATTAATTAATTATTAAGCTGTAATTAACTTGATTAAAACTGTTAATCGTTTGACAGCCCTAGTATGCACGTGTATGTTTGTGTGTGTATGTTTTGTTTGTGTTTGTTTGTATGTGTGTGTAGCGTTTATAAGATAAGAGAGCATTATTTGTCCCACTGTAGGAAACACACGATGACGACATATTCACACGTTTGTTCTGGAGATTTCACTTCCAAAACACTCTTTCCGTTGGGGAAAACCACGTGTACGAAAAGTTACATCCCCAAGCTTTAATCTGCAGATGGAGATGGAGATAACTGATCAGGAAGAAGCTGGAACAGGTCTGAGTCGTCTCTGTCTCTGTAGCGTTTACACAAACGGTCCTCACTCTGTGGACTCAGACCTGACCTTTACAAACACACACAGATATACACACACAGACACACACTCAGAAAAACTCACATAGATACACACAGATAGACACGCACAGACACACACACACACAGACGCACACACAGACACACGCACAGACACACACACACGGACATGCACATACACACAGACACACACACATAGACACACACACACAGACATACGCACAGACACACATACAGACACACGCACACACACACACACACACAGACACACTCACAGACACACACTCACAGACATACACACACAGACACACACACACACACACAAGACACACTCACAGACACACACACACACACACACACTCACAGACACACACACAGACACACACACAGACACACACACGCACACACACACAGACACACACACACAGACACGCACACACACACACAGACACACTCACAGACACACACTCACAGACATACACACACACTCACAGACATACACACTCACAGACATACACTCACAGACATACACACACAGACACACACACACACAGACACACACACAATCACACACACACTCACAGACATACACACTCACAGACATACACTCACAGACATACACACACAGACACACACACACACACACAGACACACACAGACACACACACACACACACACACACAGAGACACACACACACTCCATATCCTCCTTTTATCTTTTTTATTGTATTGTACACTAAAAAATTCAAACTAATGACCACAACAATAGCTGGATTCTGATTGGCTGTCGCAGCGTCCCATTCCACAGCACAGAACATATGCAGCCCTTACTGCTCCGTGCCTTCACTGCCTCTTTCCGAGACGCACAAAAGAGGAATATATCACTGAGCAAAGTCATCCAAAGGGTACGCAGGCGGCAGAGATGCACCTGCAGCTCACATCAAAGAGGGCACAGATGAAAGAGCTTATCAGGGGTGGAAATAACCAGCAGCGGCTTCAAGGCCGGAGGAAAACCACTGCATGCTGGGAAATTAGCAAACAGCTCACAGGGACGGACTCTTCCTGAGGCTCCACAAAGATCGGACATCCATAATCCTGAATGAGGAAGACCGCGCCTCTGTCTGCTGTGTGTGAAGTTCATATACTCTCTCTGTCGTCATTATGGCTTCTGCTGTAGTCTGTTCATTGCTAAAATTAAAAGTATTGGGTTCTTCTATACCAAACAATATAAGGTTTTTGTGGTGTTATTACCAGGCGCAGTCAACCCAGCGACCTGTGTGGTTTACCGGGCTGACTGCGCCCCCTGCTGGCCTGTGGTGGTCGCTGGAGAAGTGGATCCCATGTACGGGAAAGCCGTCTCTTTCTCACATTCTTTCCGGTGCTCACTTTTTCTGGTGTTAAATGCTCTGCCCATTCCTCCTATATATGTCTGTCTGCTTGCATGATTTGCATGGTATTTCATATATGACATGGCATTTGCTTTCTGGTTCTAATGTGTCCTTGGGGAGGACTAATAACTGTCTTAAATTGCGGTGTGGTTTTATGGCTCTTTGAATGCGTTCTGTGACTCCTCAGATGTACTGTATGGTATTGTTATGGTGTCTCATTCGATCCCAAAGGTAGTATTGGTAGATCGCATTACATTAAAAAAAAATGTATCCGTTTATGCA